ATTGGAATTTTGAGTTTTTATTAAATTAAAATAATATTTAAAATAAAATGATTAAAAACTGCTAATATTTAAAATAAATGATTAAAAATTGTGATACTAACCATTATAATTTACATTATTTAAGTGTAATAATTTTTTAAAAAAACTGCTAATATTAATTAATTATAAATTCATACTAAAATTTTTATCAAAACATATTACAAAATAAATATGATCTTTTTATTTTTATCTCGTCAAATAACTTTTTATATAGCTAATTAGTATTAATGGTATAGAAAACCATTTAAAAAATTGTTTAAACAATTGTTATAATAATAATAATTTAATAAATTTTTCAACTATTTAATTGGTCACGATCTAATAAATTTGTAAGAATTGTATTATTCATAATTCTGGAAAATATATGTTGTCATTCGTATCCAAGTGAAAAAAGTTATAATTATATTATTCTTTTGTACTTATTATAAAATTTATAATTGTGTCTTTTTAACTAATTATAAAATTTAGTAACGTGATATGCCCATTATATTATAATTTTTAAAATAACATCCAAACATATGACTTATAATACTATATTGAAATCAATATACGTGCACATAATCAAGGGTTAAAAACTTTTTGGCATCCAAAACTTCCATGAGATATTCGACTCACCATATAAACACAAATTTTCTTTTTATTTTTTTTTTGGCGATCAACCATGCAAACTATATGCCTTTGCCGAACGCTACCCTCCTCCGCATATAACCCCGCAGCACCGGCAGTCATCTCACCATTTCTGCAATCAATCGTTCTTGTTATATCTGCCTCCTCAAATTACTACTAGAAAACAAAAGGGGCAAATAATTGGAAAAGCATCATGTACCGACCCGATCAATTTAAACGCCAGTAACATCTCAAAATATATTTTTGTTCTTAGAAGCCAAGAGAAGTTGATGTAGTCTATAGAGCAGAACATGTAAAAGAAACTCTCCTTACCCAGAACCAGCAAAAAAATTAACCAGGCCCCAAGCACTGGGCCCTGACAACGTCATACACAAAGCCACGATAAGAATATTAAGAAAAGGCAACTTCAGCATAAAGTATTTTAAGCAGCAGCAACAGACGGCTTAGAGGCTGCAGAAAGTTTCGACCTCCTCTTGGCCAAGCTCTCACTACGCCTTTCCCTTTGTTCCTTCAAGCGACTAGCAAGAAGCTTCTGATACTCGGCAGCTTCTGACTTTGCCTTGGCTATCCTCTTCTTCTTGTCAGCAATTCTAGCTCTCTTCCTCTGCAGAGTCAGTGGGGTCACCAGCCTTTGAATCTTGGGAGCTTTGCTCACTTTTTTACCTGCCAGGAAATAAATATGTACCGATCATCAAACCAAAACATAACAGCAAAGATACAACAATGATGATATAACTACCCCAAAAGTAGTCTTATTAAGGGAGAGAAGTAATAAATTAGTGAGTTTCGGCTGAGCTTATTAAAAAGATCGAACACTTTTACAAGCAAGTTTCTTGGGAGTTTCTCAAAGAAAAGTCGATAAGCAGTTATGTTTACTCAAATTTTTTGTGGTTCATGAATTCAAGTCACAAAAGGATATTTGATCTCGTAAAAAAATTTCTAATGATATAGTGCTAGTTACATCCATCTACTCAGCTCCTTTGAAAAAAAAAAAAAAAAAAAAAAAAAA